GTTCTCCATCGTGTTTGACTGTATGGACCGTGTTCTTTTCTTTGAAGGCCTCATTTTATTTTCTGAAAACAGTAGAATGATGTGCTCAGCCAAAAAGCTCTATTTTAGTCTTATATGTCCACAGGACATTCTCTCAGAAGGACTGTGGCTTCCTCAAGTCAGTTTTGGTAAACCTCAGTCTGGCTTTTTTATGTTTCTGTGTCAGCAGTGGGTCCCCTGGGTCTCCTACCATCGCATCCCTTGTCATTCAGATGGCCACAGCTACTGTGAGCTGACACTGTTGCACCCTGTGCCTGCAGGTCAGCTTGAATTAGTTTGGAAGTTGATCAAGGTTCTTTTTCCATCATTCAACAATCCAAACCAAGCTATTTTTCTCTTTCGTGCACATCCTACCTACATAATTAAATGCTATCTATGACACCTGTATTTATTAAAAGTGAGTATACTGGGTAGCAAATATAATAACATACATAAGATTGTTATTCATTATGTTACTGAAGCTATCATTTGAGTACATTTCTCGTTGTACACTTTGCAGAGGAACAAGACAGTATGTTTACCTATTTATGCAGTGTGATTTATACCTGTGTGCCCCATTTTCAATCGAGTTGCTACAGTTTCTTCTTTCCTATTTCCCCCCATGCCTGCTGACAACAAATCATTTTTGAAAATCTTACTATAAATGTCTGTCAGTTTCACCACATTCCCACTACTCTTGCCAAATTTTGATATGAAGACTGGGTTATCCAACAACAGTGACATTTAAGATGTTTTTTTTTAGAATCAGGAATGTTCACTGCCCTCTTGTAGTCACAGTAGGAAACTGCATCATAATATTAGCCAGTTGCAATTATACACATAGCCAGTGTAGTAACGTAACTTTATTTATTCTTCATTAATACTGGAGAGATGATGCAACTTAGTAATGTTAGTTGTTACTGGGTATCAGGGAATTGTTTATACTAAAGCATGCTGTTGCCTGTTCTTACTGGGAGCTACAACTATGATGCATTCATAGGAATGATACAGATTATTGCTATTATTGTGATATTGCAAGTATTAATATTGGTAGTTCTACACATCTTAACATATCGATATGGTGTCTACTCTGAATATACAGTGCACTCAGGATAGGAAATACTGTATATACACTATTATCTATGTTTGTTTTATTTTAAAAGTTTTTATCGGAATTACTACATCCATGATTGCTTCCAACCAGGGGGGTTTCCAACTTTACACTAGTGGTGCTTATGTTATTTAGAATCATGGACGATCATGCCCTCCAGTGGCCACAGCGTCAATATATGATGACGAACTGTTGCTCTTTTCTGTTTGAACATGTTATGAAGTTAATAAGCTAACAGTGGTCATTTTTATGAAATATATATTGTGATTATGCAATGCTGTTTATAAACAACCCCTAACCCCCTAATGTTCGAGCTTCACACCAGCAAGTGAACGCACCACTAGCAGAAATGATCATTTGATGACATTCTCTCTTTTCCGACAGCACCTGAATGTAGCGTGGTACAGTACAGCCTCCAGCAGGTGATGCTGGTCGTGCCACTAGTATAAAAGACACGTCTGAACACCACGTTTTCATCCACTTGTTCCATAACCAAAGAGAAGCCCAGTCTTTGTTTAAACTCCAGACCAAGATGTATAAGATGTCCCTGGTTTACCTTGGAATTCTCCTGCTGGCTTTTTATATGTCGGACGTAAGTTCATCGTTTCAATTTATGGGACATTAAACCTATTTTGGTCAAGTTAACCAGATTTTGTGCTGAAAACCCTTTAATCGAGAGCAGCAAAGTTTATTTTGTCAAACTTTAGCTTTAATTAAGGTTTAATGTTACATGTGGGCTTCATTTCCAGTCAGTGCTAACTATTTCGTTATAAATGACACGCATTAGGTATAACTTTTACGAAATGTAATTGTGGGCTGACAATATTTTCACTCAGCTAAAAGGGAACTAAAACTTAATTATATGACAATGAGAAACTTGACTGTGAAAGCTGACGGTTTTGTCTTGGTTTTCATTTCGGTGAAACCCTAGTGCGGGTTTAGAAATGCCTCTTTTCTTAAAGTTTGTAGAAATGGGCTTTACCTGCAGTCTGCC